CTCTTTCTCTCGCATCACTAGGTTTGAAGAACACCTTCGCTCCAAGTGGTATCACCATGCCTGGGAATTCGCTCTTGTGCAACTTCAACCATGCACTGCTGCCATCGCTCAGCTTCTCGATGTTCAATAAATGGCTTACGCATTCCACTGCAAATGGCCAAAAACATGGTGGTAGTCCGGCTTCTAGTAGGCATGTCGATGTGGTAAGCATCATGAATTGATTGTTTCTTTCGGCGAGTGAATTGTTCTGGGGATGTCCTGGAAGCGACTGGTCTAGTGGAATCCGGAGTTCCTTGAGGGCTGATTCGAATTGTGGCGCATCATCCGAGTAAGCGTTGGTGACCTTTCTTTTACCGATATAGTGCTTCATTGCCTGCACCACTTCGTCACTATTGCTTGCTTTCAATGGATAGCCCCATATCACACCAGTGAACCGATCTCGAATCACCAATATGTCCTTATCCGGCATGATCCCATCTCTCGCCATCTTCTGAGTGTTCATGAGATCGAAAGTGATAAGGTCACCGAATGCCTTCAATTTCCGTTTGAAAGCTCCCTTGCTAGTCTTGTAGTGCTTCATCTTTGCTCTCACACATGACTTGCAGTATGGGTTCTTGTATCGGTGCGTCATCAAGTGCAATATGGATTTCGCCTCGTTCTTCAACACTCCTGGTTTTGATAGTCTGGCTTCCCCGTCAACCACATCGACTTCCAATAGTCCCTCTTCATCCTCATCAATGTCACTCTCCTCTCGTTCAGAATCCGCATCACCTCCATGTTCGTCGCCTCCGGCTTCTTCAGGTTGACCTTCGTGATCACGATCGAATCTCGGGTCTTCCCCGTCATATTCCTCTTCAGGAGAATACCCGTCATCACCGTGTTCCTCTGGTTCTCCTTCGACGCCTGCAACAGCTGGATTGATATCAGATTCACCATCCTGATCTCTCTGGTTATCTTTCTTCTTTCTCCTCCGTCTCCGTGGTTTCTTGGGCGGAAGTTCCTCTTGTTGTGTCTCCTGACCTGCTGTGACCTCGTCTTCATGCCCCACACCTGACAGTATGCGGTGAAGTATCGTAGCCAAGCCGTCTGGTCTTGGTAAACATCTCCCGTCATCATCATTCACCTTGATGTAGGGTATGTTGTCATGCACCGATAGCGGAATCTTGTTCGCGTTCTGGTCGTTGAGGTATGGCAATTGATTTGCCGGCCATATGAATGAGTACCCTTGTTCCATGCACCGTTTCCCGATGGAAAAGACTGATGGTGTGCTCTCCAGCACGTGTGCCTCGGACCTCATGGGTAGTTCGTCCACATTGATGTCCACCATCTCTGATGTACTAGTTACACCATTCGCTGTCATGAAGCTCACGGATTTGGGTCCTTCCTTGGTGGTAAGGCCCATGGCATTGACTTTCTCTCTTGAGATCAAATCGTGTCCACATCCCGTGTCCATGATGAAGCGTATTGGTGGTCCATCATACCTCTCCACAGCCATGAACATCGTGTCTCCTGGTATCGTGTAGTTGACAGAATCCTTCCTTACTACCTCTCTGGTGTTGAAATCAGACAGGTCGACGTTCACCTCGATTCCTTCATCTTGAGCGATTTGTATCCATGCCTTGGCAATGTGTTCAGCATAGTATAGCTCCATCATCTTACCTTTGGCATGTGCTACTCGTGCAGCTATATTGCTCACTCTGAGGGCTCTCAACGACGAAATGAGCTCGGTATCCACCTTCTGCACCTCATTCTTCTTCTTCCTGAGGGGACGGGTGTTTAGCTCGTTACCAGGATCGCAGGTGAACGTGGTCACATTCGCCCGGTCATCGAATCTGACTTTAAAGCGAAGCGCCAGCTTACCTTGTTGTACGTTGGGAAGTGCGGGTTGTACGTCCTCGTCATCACTCTCGATGTCTCCGCAAAGCATGAAGGCTGGCGCAGCCGGTTTGGGCTTGGCTTTGCCTTTAGCCTCTTGTTTTGTAGCAGGAGCAGCGTGATGCTGACGTCGACATTTGTCCCCGAACTTGCACGATCCTTTCTGCCAATTCCAACAGACCTGATCCTTCATTGGCTTAGGGCTACTGCTCCTGTCACCAGGACTCTTTGATCTGTCACCCTTGATGCTTTCTGGTTTCTTAGCAGAACTCTTGTGCTTCTCTTGGTGACTAAACTTGCATTTGTCTCCTCTAGAACATCCGTTTTTTCCCATGGAAGTGGAAAGCGCATCCTATCTTGGACGTATCTGCTGGAGTCGCTGACCTGCCACGATCCCCTTTTGGGCTCTTCGTGGCTGATCTTCCACGATCCTGCTTCTTGTCCTTCTTGTTGTGGTCCTTCGGATTAGCCTGAGGAAGTACTGGAGCTGCGTCATGTTTCGGTGGATCGGCCTTGGTATTCTTGGGTTTCGCTTTAGGGTCCTTCTTCTCCGCCGCTGGTGTGGCTTTCACGATGTTCCCAAAAGCTTTTTCCCTTTCTTTCTTGTTTGTGGTCTCGATTGATTTCCGTATCCACTTCGTCATGATCTCTCGTAACTTCTGGTAGGTCTTATCCGGATCCTTATCCAACATGTTGTCGTACACAGACAAGTCTAACGCCATAACTTTGGAATCCTTAATCTTATCCCAAAGCAGGTTGCGAAGTGCTTTGTCAGGAAGCATGTCATCCGCATCCATACCTGATATGATCTCATCCCACTGTCCAAGGAATCTGGATAGTTGATTATCCCCAGGGAACTTTAGATCGAATAAGTGCTTGGATGCATACATCACATCAACGTTGTCGGCACTCCGGAAGCTATCGACGATCAACGCTAACATTTCTCGTCCCTTGACCATTCCAGGAGTTGTGCCTCTCGCACGTCTCTGCATCATCTGCCTCACCTTCAGTTGTACGTCATGAGATCTCTCACCTGCTGCGTGGATGATCGTGTGTAGGGTGATACCCAGCTTAGCGTCTATGCTAGCGAATCTTGCTTCGCCTGATGTCTCGAGTAGAAATGGGTCATATGGTGATCTGAAGGCATCCGAGAGCCATTGGATCCAGTCTTCTTGTTTCTCGTCGCCCGATGCCGTCACGACTGCCGCTACAACCTGGGATTTCCAAACCTCCAGGTCGTGTATCTTGGGCCATGCAGGGATGTTGATCTTCTCGTGTTCCTTCCGAGATATCTTGGAGCCACCTGAGCTGGAGGATGAAGCGGCACCATGTTCGGTTGCGGCTGCATTCTCCGCACTCATGCGCTCCTCTTCGTACCTCTTCCGGTACTTATTCCTCTCATCTCTGAGCCGTGCTGCATGCGCTTCGAATTCCATCATGTCCTGTTGGTTCTGCATCATACCTTCGTAGTACTCAATCGCCTCTTTCTCCTCGGACCTTAACGACTTTTCAGTACGTTCAAGTTCCGCTCTAAGCTTGGTCATCATCTCATTCTCCACACTGGGTTCTGATCCCATGTCTGTTGGTTTCAACTTCAGTGCGACCTTCAATTGTGCTTCACTTGCGCTTGATTCGATCAATTCTTCCTGAAGACGTTTCAGCATCCTCTCTTTACGTAGAATGTCCTCTTCCAACATGTTCACCTTGACTTCGGCCTTCTTGAGTTCGGCGCTGGATGGTTGAAAAGGTCGATCGGATCCTTGAATCCTCGTCTGAGTCAACTCCTCGTTCGCCTTCTTCAATTGCTCTCTGATGCTCAAGATGAACTTGTCCTGAGTATTAGATCGGTTGTTGAGCTCCTCATTCTCTTCTGATAACCATTTGATCTTGCTTGCATACATTGCTTCCCTCATCTTCATCTCTTCAGCATATTCGTGTTTGTTCCTGGCACTCTGCCTTTGTAATCCAACTAACTCCTGTCTACACAGATCCTTGACGTTCTCAGCATCTGCGATTGTAGTCATGACCTCGGTTACGGCTCGATCTCTTTCTGCCGATATAGCCTGGATCTCTTCCGTGCCGATGTTCACAACTTGACTAACCATCTCTGCGCTGTTGCGATCAGCGTACTCCCCTAACTGGGTGAGACGATCCCGCAGTGCCACACGATCAGTGTCCATCTGGTATTGCAGGTCGTGTGCTGCTGAGAGCAAACAGTCTCTGGATTCTGTAAGTTGGGTGATTCTTCGTTGATTTCCATATCCTTCGACGTAACATTCTTCGAGGTGTGCCATCACTACTTCGTGGACTTCGGTCTCGTGTTGTATAATCTGGTTCTGTCTCTGCTCACATTCGACCATCCATGCGTTTTGGTGGTTCAACATATGCACTTCGGCAAGTAGTTGCGCACACTTCGCATTCAGGTCCCCATCGGCCCGTGCTAGTTGTAGGTTGTCAGTGCTTGCCCTTGCTCTATCCCCAGCTTCGCTGTCCGACGGCACTGGTACAGCTGACCCATCCTGCAATGCTAACACTCTCACAGCTCCGGTGTCAGTCCTCCTCCTTGTAACCCTAGGGCTACGGCCTGATCTCGGTGTCCCCCACGGTGGTGTCGAGTGCGCTGACGGGGAACGACTTCGTGCTCTACCTGTCGCATCTTCTCTCACCGCTGTCAGAGTCTCCACTTCGATCGTACCTGGACTAGAGTTGTGGGATGCACTCATCCGATCTGCGGCCGCAGCAGCTGCCCCAAAAGATGCAGTGCTGGCGTCGGATTGGTCCATCTTCAGTGACTGAGGGTAACTGGTCTGTCCGATGCGTGTGCGCTTAGATGGTGTTGTGTAAGGCCGCAGCTCGTACCCAGCTCAAAGGAGTCTGGATACGGCTGATAACCTGCGAACGGATGGAAAGGTGTGCCCTGGCCCCGTTCTAGCTCTTAGGTTAACATGAAGCTCGCGCGCTAAAGCTCCTTTTTACCTGGTTGGGCACTTGAGCCAAAAGTATATGGCATGTACCTGTATAGCGACTATACTGGGACCCCATCCCTATTGACATTTATAGACTGGACACATCTAACCCGGCTTCCCAACACACACACACACACCTCACTATAGTACTCAATGCACCTCGTGGCACAAGCGCCTCACCAGCTGCTGTGCCTGCGCCCCCGCGGCGGACAGCACCGCGGTGACCGTGGTGGAACTGGGCGACAAGCGACACATCACCTACGCGACACGCGAACTCTCGCGACGTGTGCGGCGGTGCTGCAGGGGCGCTGCGACACGCGACTTGCGGGAGCTGCCAATTGGCTAGCCGAGCTGGATGATTTTTCCCAGAAAGACTGCAGCCTTCGAAATAAGAAACACAAAGCATGAGAAAGCATGACACAAAACAAACATCCGGGTGAGCAAGCCACACCCATACCCTCAGGCTTGGTGGTGAGGCATTTTCATGGCAAAATGTTGTTCTCAACTTCTCCAACGCGACAAAAGCAAATGGCCCGACCAAAGCGAAGCCCAAATGCGCACCACGTCACCAGGCGCTCCAGCAAATGCAAGCTCTGGGCCCAGTGCCGTACATCTCCTTCGCAACATTCCCAGAACTTCGAATGACTCATCCCATTCCATCGGACATCTAATAGCAACATGGGGTCGTCCCATCGATGGGTCGTCCCATCGAGTCTGGGAACATGGGCTCCCTGTTGTTTGAAAAAGGTCCTGAACTTTCCGAAGTCTTGTTCTCTTGCTATTTTGAGAGGCGAAGCATGCGCTTCGCATCTATACTCCTACAGCGCTGATGGCGACATTGAAGGTGGCCGTGGCGGCAGATCTCATCCTGGCGCTGGGTCACTGACTCAATCAAATGAAAACGCCACCGGCAGCGCCTTGAGCCTGTGGGACGCATGCTGGGGGCCTCAGCGAGCGCTTGAGGGTAGACTCTACGCCTGACGTTGGATGATGCTGAACTACATGAAGGACATACATTTGAAAGAAAGTAGTTGAGGAAACACGATGAAACACGCACCATAGGATTTGGATCAATCCCAGTAGCGGCCACTCCAAAAAGGGGTCATTATAGTAAGGGCGCCTCTGTCTCTTCCACGGGTTTGAGGCCGGACCATGCGAAAAAGACATTCCGTATGGATCCACTGCCACCTTCCTATCGAGGGTGGATGGGATCGACGGCCTGGAGGGTCCGCAGGTACGACTGGACTCCGCCCAGATCGGGGTGGTTGTCCACAGCTTCCCAATTTCGCACGGAGAAAAAACGACACGTCCATCATCTTCCAACTCCACAACTTCACCAACTCCAAACCATCTTCCCATCCAACTCCTCCTTTCAAGCCACCAACTCCACCAGCTCCAGCGACGCCCTCCAACGGAGACTCGGACTCGTCGAGCTGTGCCGGTCGGACTCGCCCAGGGCACTGCCCAGCGCGCTGAGGGACACCGCGTTTGGCTGCACGCGCTGCACACCTCCAGTGGAAATGGTGCGCTTGACCCCTGCAGGGCTGGGACCCTAAGCGACCCCCCCCAAGTCGTTCATGGATGTTCATGGGTGATTCATGGGTGGTAGATGTGTCTGTTCTTATCATGGGATCTCATCCTTCCTCAAGCCCCTAGCAACCTACAACAGGGTTTGGAACATGTACACTTCCCCTGTGAGTTGGTTGCAACATGTCAGGAACTGGCAACGCATAGTGTCAACTATCAAGAGCAGTAGAAAACACATCAACACACGTAGAACCAGGAGTCACATGCCAGGGTGGTTTTTGAATGTTTTTGAGTCATGAGTGGATGTTCTGGGCACCCCTATCCTCCGTTCGTTCGGCACCTGGAACAAGGGAACCACTAAAATCAAGGGTTCTGTCTGACGACTAGCCACTCAACCAGGCTTGTCTGATGCAACTCCGATCTGTTACGAATCCGTTTGGTTCCGGAATCCGTGCATCATTTGGATCCGTTCATCTGCTGCGGTGGCTCCACCCGTACACTCGCTTTTCACACCACCCCGCAGAACACCCCAGTGGCCGAAGGAAGACATCAAAGCCAATGACAAAGCCCACCTATAGCTGCGGTGCGAGTGGGCCAATGGGCTTTGCTCCTCATCCGGTGGAAAGTAAAAGGTCTACATAGGAGAGGAAAGATCTTGATCTGGATCATTTGTGACAAAACCGTGACATGAGTCATGGTTGAGGCCCCAATGTCCCTGCTTCTCTTCTGGTGCTTCGTCCGGCTTCAAAACAGGAAAGGCCTAAAGCTTAGCGTCTCAGGAAACATATGCACTCCCATTATTTCCGTAGTAAGGCCAGGAGCCCCTGTAGCGTCCTTGGTATACAAATGTTTGTGGGGCTAGTGCCCAATGCCAGTCCTACCCCACCTGCATCCTTTCTCACAGGCGGTCAGGGCAGCATTGCACAGCACGACGCTCAGCTGCAAGGCGAAGTGTCTCACCTGCAAGGCGCTTCCCAATCGATGCGGAAGACATCCACACACGGGCGTGTGTCTGTTCTTTTCATTTGTATTTGGGAGGACCTCCCTGGCCCTGACTAGGGGACCTCCTGGTCTATGTTCCGATCCGCCTGTAGACGTTCAATGGCTAAATTAAATTCAGGGAAAGCAAAGGAAAGCTGCATTTGTTTGGTCATTTTGCCGTACTTTCACCTCCATGTTGTGATATTATGTTCTTGACGGCGTGGTGTCTTTTCGAAGTTTCTTTTGGCACTGAGCTCTCACCAACGTCAGGCCTGAGCAAAAAACTGCAAGCAGCGCCCCCACACCGACGGCCGCTTGGCCGTGTCCTGCCGAAGAAACGGCCGGGCCGGCGAGCGAAGGCCGAGAACAAGCGACCGTTAAGGAGCTCAACTTGGTGAAGGTCATGTGTTTTGACCCACCCCTTAGAGTGAAACCTGGTGTTTTCAGCCACTTCAGCATGCATCTTGTATACTGAGACTCAAACGACTGTATACCTGATCAACGACGCAGCAAAAGAGCACCCAGTGCTGGCACCGGATGGATGGAGGTCGACTGCCAGTGACGGACGCTTAGGTCGACTGCCGAATGGTATGGTGTCAGAGCCGGGCGCGCCTCGTTCGGTGCTGAGATCAACGACCCCAAGGTCACTGCCGTGGGGTGGGTCAGGCGTCGGTAGGCCAAACCAAGGCGCCAGGAGGAGTGAATGAGGGCCTCAAAGAGAGCGGTAACAACCATGTACAACACCCTGAAATCACCCCAATGTCGGTAAATAGTCCCATGGAAGGTGGACATGCAGTTCCAAACACTCTTTGTTTTTGTCTGACATGACCATCAATGGGACAGCGTCCACCTTGAACAACTCCTTTAGTGTAAAATTGATATGATTTAAACTTTATATACAGTAAATTTGAGTCTCTGATTCTCTGATGAAGGTGTATATTTATGTTTTTGCTGTTGCAAGTGTGCCCTTGGTTGATAGAGACACTATGACTATAAGCGATGAAGCAGCATAGAATGACCGACCCCCGGCTGCAACGTGTCGGTATGTTTGGCGGGTTTGGGGTTCAGAATTGGATATGTCATATGTCTGTGTTAGCCTGACTCCATCTCCAGCACCTGTCGTATTCCAGTGGTGGAACGGGGAGAGCGACTCGGTTTTGTTATCTCGATTTGGACTCTTACTCAGTGGAAGAAAATGGACCCGTGACAATATCGCTCTTTAATATAACATCAACGGCTCAGCGTGATTGTCTTTCTCCAAGGATCTCAGTCAGCACGGCTTCTCTGGACTTTGAAATCTAATGTTTTGCGTGGACCTTTGAACGAAGCTGGCTACCAAGCACATCCAGAACCCTAAATGTGCATCAAATAGGGTGAACTTATGTGTATGCGGGGCAAGTTGAAACCCTTCCCGCCACCTATGATGTGTTACAGGTTCAACTCTCCAGTTCCTGAATGACTTGACTCATCTTGACTCCCTTAGTGTAGTGGGACGTGTGGTGTACTTCGACCCCACGCGACTCTTTCCCTCTACGTCCGAGCCGAATTGAATTGTGTCTCCTTGGCTCTCCAGGGCACATTCTGCGTCACCACGTCCAAGCCCAACGCCCGCTGCGCCATGTGTCGCGAGGCTGCGAAGGCCCTGGGCCACTGCTGTGCACGCTGGTCTCAGTGGCGATTCTGACGGGGACTGAAAGGCAGCGCTGTGAAGCAATTCGGGCGAAGTCCATGACTTGTTGACTGTTGATTCATGATGATTCATCCAACAAATACTGTACCAGGACCTTCCAACAGGTCACCACCTGTTGGAAAGGTGCTGGTACCAGAATGGTTTGAAAGATCTCCAGGCCGGTTTAGTCTTAGGCAAGACTTCGGTTGCTTGGAGGGGCCGAATTGGAGACCCTTATGGTCCCATCCCAGTTGGACCACTCTGGTAACCTCCCAAGGTGGCCGGTCTGGACACACTGGTGACCTAAACCAGCACCCGGGTCACCGACTTCGCCAGGTCACCACTCAGTCAGCTTTTCAGCATTTCAGCCTTCAGTTCCGAGACCTGGAGAGAGTCGGGTGCAGTGGTTTTCCTGGATCCACTGGGCAAGGCCGCGAACTCGGACCAATGGATCATCCTGTCGGATGCACCACAGGGGAGACCAGAGATTGGTGAAACCCCACGCCAAGTGGCACGTGCTCATCAAGCTGTTCGCTGTGATCACACTACACCGCAAAGATGTGAAGCCTTGAGCCACCAGCTCCTGGCTGTGGGGTCAGCTACTTGGATCAACTTGGCCAGCACGTGGGATCAAAAGGGGGCATCTTCTCGGCCAAACTGCTTGCTTGCAGAAGGGCGAAAACCGACTCCGCCGGACGACAACGGGCTCCCTCCTGTCAGGCGGAGCTGTCCCGGTCCGGCAGGCCGGTCGTGTCCGTCTTCGAACAAGTCGAGTCGAACAAGTGGCCCCCACATGTAGACTCAATATGAAGAGGTGATGTAGACTCAAGGACCAGGCCACCACCCGATGTGAAGAGGAGGTTGTTCAATTCAAATGAGGGAGAAGGTGATTAATCAAGAGTCCCACATGATCCAAAATGATCCAATCGTGTCCTCCAAAGGTCGTCCAACCCACACCCCGCCCACTCCTTACATGTTTGAACATCGATCGTCAGTGAACCTATACCAGCGTCCTCCAACATCCTCTTAAGTCTTAGGGCCCTGCCCAACCCCTGAGTTCAGGGGTCTCCCAGAGTCCGAGGATTCGTCTACCAGGAGACCCCAAGGGGTGTTGTTTGGATCCTAAGGGGTGGTTAATAGACACCCCTTACCACCAATTGGCACCCCTTAGGGTTTGCTGGTATAGGGATGGCTTTGGATCTGCGCCTCCACCTCCAGGCTATTCCACCTTCGCTCCTGTGCCGCCGCCCAACGAGCCGCTCCCGACAGCGTGCTCAGAACCCCGTTGACCAACACGGCGCCGCGCAGGCGGACGGCGCGGGAGGCCACCTCGTTCCTCGGTCCGGGAGGGTTCGGAGCCCCACACGGTCCATGGGACTGGACCCCCAAACCACCACCCCAATGGGCAGTCCCATGGAGTGCCTGGGGATTCTTGAGTGCCTTGGTAGCTGAAAGAAAATGGACCAATTAAATGCCAGTGAGATATTCTGAGAAACTCCACCTACGACTCCTTGAAAGGTAGGGGCAACCCGCCCCAACTGATCCTATATTTGCCTTTGACACACAAACCTCGTGAGCACGGGCAAAGCCCGGTGCTATGACCATGATATAATGAGCTTTATGATGGTGGCAATGATGTTGTTACGCAATATCCCTTTTCTGAGACAGAACAAAAACACCAGGCATGCCTGGTTCTTGCCACTGGTTCAGATGAGTTCAAACCACCGGCCTTTCAACCACCAACCACGACCGCTTCGATCCACCAGGCCGATTCGAGCCTTACACGGTGTAAGGCGACGACTTACGGCAAGTACACGCCCGGTGGTCCGTCTGCCAAGCTTCAAGCAGCCTAGACTCTGCTGCCATTGCAAGTCTTTGCTGCAAAGCTTGACCACCTGAGTTCCCAAGTCGCGGGGGCCCAGGGCCAACGGAAGTCTCACACCTGACCACCAACGTCACAGGAGTTGGCACGCGGAATTGCGGACCGCGACTGATGACCACACGGTGTTGCTTTGTGCACTGATTGCTTTCACGCTTCACACATGTGCATATGCCAACTGCAACTGTTCGTATACTTGGAACTTGCTCGAAACTGAAACTTCTTTTGACCAAAAGGATCACCGCAGTGCATGGGAGTCCATGTGCACCCAGTTCACCGTGAGAAAGATATATGTTCACATGTTTTGGTCTATACTTGGTGGACTCTCCTTGTCACTGTGGGAACGGCATTGGCCTCCCACTCCAACTCTAGAACTGTACGGACCGTTCTTTGGGCCAAAACGCAAAGAAAATGGGTGTCCCTCGATTTTGGTGACCCCGAATGCTCTTTTTGACAAACCTGCGACCCTCACCTCCCTCACCTATTGGCTCAAACCCTACGGGAGAGCCATCAGCAAGTCCCACATGAAAACGTCGTAAGAAAACGCTTGGACTTTAGGAGGAAGGGATAGGACGAGGTCTTTTGAGGGGTCTTCGCACGCCCTGTGATGAAATGAAAAAACGGCCGTCCCAGGTGATCAAAGCTTTCCAAAGAACCCTCAACAAAAACGCCCTCCAGTTCTGCCAACGTATAGCAATAAGAATTAACGATATTAACACTATTAACGTGAATGGGGAAAACACGGCACGGTGCGGTGATGACTGGACCGGGACAACGACCTTCCAGGAAGAGCAAGCGGTGAACGAATCGTCCACCAATGGCTCTTGGGCTCTCTGAGGAGCGTGGTGTGACTCGACCAATCTCTCGCCGCGGCCATTGGTTGGATGTGTATGATATTGGGCGAACTCCAAAAAATACTTGGGAGTGACCATGGTGGTCTTTGCTTGAATTCTGCTTCAATCGATCTCCATGTCCGGATTCGCCCTCCCTGCGCGCACGGAGCTTGGCTTGTCACGGCCCAGCCGCAGTGCCGAAGCTCACGGCATCGCAGCGGAGCTGACGGCCGCGCGCGCGCCTGGGCGCGGTGGAGGAAAGGAACTCGTTGGAGACAGCTCCAGACCGGGCTTCCGGAGCTTTGCCTGTTAAATATGTTCTACGCATTACATGCATCATGCATAGATGGGTGGTTGACATGGAGGCAATGTAAATATTCCAGTCTTATGGAGTGTGCATACCTCCAGCCTAAGAATGATTCTAGACCCCTCTCATCGCCAAAAGTTACATGCTGTCCTAACACTGCTTGCGTCGGTGAAACAAACACTACCCCAATAAAGCTTTCGTAATGAAATGACAGGTACCGACATGTAAATGTACCAAGGTTGTATGTGGAATGAACGTCCTGGAAGATTCCAGGAAGAAAACCCTTAGGCCTGAGGAGCCTATAGTGAGGAAGCCTAAGCTTTCCCAAGAAGGTGATGACTGAGGTCGGTGTTTTCCGGCCCATCCTTCGGCACACCCGGTCCTCCACGGAACTCCGAAAGGAGCTGCTGGAGCCCAAACAAAACGGCTTCATGACCCAAACGCTCCAATTGTGTGGCGTCTGTTCTATATATATAACATACATTTACATGTATATAATTGCATGTGTATATATAGATAGTATAGTATAGTATAGTATAGTAGTAATTAGATGTAATTAGTTACATAATGTTACATATACAATTTACAATCATATTTACACTACCTGGACCCTGAACAATTCAATAATTTCTGTACGCTTGGAACTTCTG